ACTGCTATTGCTTTACTTTATTGTTATATTCACACTATGATAGGACTTGCAAGGTAGTATGCTTACTTGATGGCCTTTACCTTGACGCAACCTTACCCCTGCTTACCCTGCTATTAGGAGAGACACACGCTTGCTGCTATATTTCATTGCTTATTACTTCTACTACGCTTGTACTACATTAATGCGTGGTGGAAACTGGTGTTATCTGGACTATGGGGAGAGTGCTGCGTGTGTGACTTGGGTGCGTAGAGGGTGAGGGTTGTGTCGACCAAGTTGGAATATACGACGAGCCTGGGGCAAGTCTTGCCGCGGGGTGCTACCTGGGCACCCCTAGAAATGGATACCTGTGGTGGGTAAATGGTATATGAGGTGACCCTGGGTGTGAACCTGTGATGGGAGGAGCCTGGGGTGGAGGTGCTGTGGTGGCACGGTAAATAGAAACCCTGATGAAGACATTCTGGCTTGGTCATCCCTAAGGACTTACTAGTACTCAGATTCACCGAGAAGCCTTACATACCACTCGCCCTATATGGTGCGGGACGGCCAGACTACTGGGTAGGATATTGCCACTACTGCTAGGTTGATAGTGGACAGTGCGAGGAGGTACGGGGCGCGGAGGATTCCCCCACACCCTTCCGAGACTTCATGGAGACCTCGTGGACCTGACTCATGACTCACAGTTTCAGCCACCCCAGACTAGACTTGGGGTGTATCAGGGCTGAATGATAGAGTGGCATTATCCTAGGCTAGCAAGCGGCCGGAATCAGCCCAGTTGACGACGGTCGGCGAGGAAGGCGAATCTTGTGGTTATGTAAAACCTCTGCAGAGTGTATGGTTGATCGATCGATACATATGCCGACTTGTCGGCTATGGACCTTTCCTGGGTTTCGCTTAAACTAGATAGTGAGATGAGTCCTTCTCTTCTTCCCCCGTGAGAGAGTGTCGGTCGTAGCCAGGGGCTACGGGCCATGAGACAGTGCCGAGAGGGAGTTGGCATGTCGACTGAGCGATGGTATGGTGGTGATGTGGTGATGATGTGGAGATGGTGGTGTATCGATCCCAGGATCAAAACCTGGCTCTGGACGGAAATGGGGTGGAATGGGTGTGGGAATGGTGTTAAAACTTGACCAACTATTAATATATATATATATATACCTGATATGCTAAAACATAGGAAACTCCAGCCTTATAGGTTCCTTTTAAATATATCCAACTTGCATCCAATTTCCACAAAGCAATGCTCATAGGGTGGGAGTGGCCAGTACAAATCGTACTGATAAATTTTGGCACACAGGTTCTGCTGAGGAGTATAGCTCTGAGGAGTTTGACGGTTGAGGGGTTCGTTCCTACGCTCGAGTTTGGCGATCTTGTCTTCAAGTTGTTCTGAATGAATGCTACTTTTGATTCCGCCAATGCGGCGATGTAATAATTTATGTAATTCCGCACTATTTGTACTCTGATATTATCGTTGTATGGATGTGGTATTCGACTAGAATTTGGGTAATATGATCTACAACGGTCATAATACACTTCGACTCTGTGGATTTCCCTTCGTGGAATTCAGGTCGTTTCAGCTGGTAGCTTCGTGGAATCCACGGTGGTAGAGACGATGGGGAAGAGGTGCCGAGCACTCCGGGAGGAGTGCCGAGAACTCCGGCGGTAGAGCCGAGCACTCCTGGGGCAGTGCCAAGCACTTCGGGAGGGATGCCGAGCATGCCAGGAGTGGTGCTGGGAGGTTCTGCAGTGGTGGCGACCACTCCAGGACAAATGCCGAGCACTCCCATGGCGGAGACAAGACGTCTTACAGTGGTGTCAATCACTCCAAGCCTGAGGCTGGGCACTCCTACAGTGTGGCCGAACACTGCAGGAGTTATGACGAGAAGTCCAGAAGTAGTGCCGAGCACTGCAACCAGGGTGCCGAGCACTCAAGGTGCTATGCCGAGCACTCCGGCGGAACAAGGAACTCCATCGACGCCGATTGAGTTCGTCTCACCTCCAAGTGACATCACTGAGTTCGTGGATGCCTTCCACGAAGGTAAGGAGGTGCGGTTCCGCAGGCTGGACGATATCATCAGCGGCACAGGACCCTCAGGACTGGCTGGTCGGCTGCTCAATGATGTAGAGTTACTACTCGTCAGTGTAGAGGAACCACCCACGTTTGCGCTGGCCGAGCGGGACGGAAACTGGCGACGGGCGATGCTGGAGGAGATGAAGGCGATCGACGAAAACGAGACATGACAACTCGTCGATCTACCTCTAGGATGTTGTCCGATCAACCTGAAGTGGGTGTACAAGGTCAAGCGGGACGAGCTCGGCGCCATTGTCAACCACAAGGCGCGCCTCATCGCCCGGGGCTTTGTTCAGCGTGAGGGCATAGACTTTGAGGAGGTCTTTGCACCAGTAGCGCGCATGGAGTCGGTCCGTTTGCTACTAGCTTTGGCAGCAGCAAAGGACTGGTGCGTCCATCACTTGGACGTTAAATTGCCCTTCCTCAACGGCGAGCTGACGGAGACGGTCTTCGTCAGGCAACCTCCAGGTTTCGCTGTTAATGGAGAGGAGCATAGGATGCTCCGACTGCGCAAGGCACTCTACGGGCTGCGGCAGGACCCTCGAGCATGGAACGCCAAGCTTGACGCCACGCTGGGCGAGCTTGGGTTTCAGAGGTGAGCAACCGAGCACGCTCTCTACACACGGCGACGGGGGAAGGAGGAGCTCGGCGGCGGCGTGTATGTGGATGACTTAATCGTCACTGGCGCGCGCATGGAGGACATCAACGGCTTCAAGCGCGAGATGACGGCTCGTTTTCGAATGAGCGATCTCGGCGCACTCTCCTACTACCTCGGCATTGAGGTGAGACAGGGAAAGGAGGAACTCACGCTCGGTCAGAGCACATATGCCTCCAAGTTGTTGGAGAGGAGCGGCATGGCTGAGTGCAAGCCATGCGTGACTACGATGGAGAAGCGGCTGAACCTGACAAAGGCCAGCACCGCGGCGAAGGTGGATGCAACACTCTACCAGAGCATCGTCGGCGTCTGCGCTACCTAGTCCACACGAGGCCGGATATTGCGTTCGCCGTGGGCTACGTCAGTCGCTTCATGGAGGATCCCAGAGAGGATCACTGGACTGCGATGAAGCGGCTACTGCGCTTACGTCAAGGGGACGGTGGATCAGGGGATCATCTTCCCAAAGACCGGCTGGAGTAGGCTGCAGCTCACTGTGTTCAGCGATGCAAACATGGCGGGGGACATCGACGGACGACGGAGCACCTCTGGTGTGCTCGTCTTCCTCGGGTCGGCCCCAATTTCATGGTTGTCGCTGAAACAGAAGGCGGTGGCGTTGTCTACGTGTGAGGCAGAGTACGTAGCGATGGCCACAGCGGCGTGCCAAGTTGTGTGGCTGCGCCGGCTGCTGGGCGAGCTGACCGGTGTGAAAGCTCACCCACCAGCACTGATGGTGGACAACCAGCTCGCCATCGCCCTCGCGAAGAATACGGTTCTGCACGACCGGATCAAACACATCGACGTGAAGTTCCACTTCCTCAGGGACTGTGTCGATGGAGGGCAGATCGTCATTGAGTTCGTCGAAACTGGTCGGCAACTCACGGACGTCCTCACCAAGCCGCTCGGACGTCTTCGACTCACGGAGCTGAAGGAGATGATCGACATGGAGGGGGTACAAGGGTTAGTAGTAGAATTATGGGAAAATTGTTACATAATCTACTACTACCTTGTGTGAACACAGCAAGGGAAAGACGGCGTCGAAAAGGCCCCCCTACTGTGATACTGTAGCCACTGCAGGTGCAGGCGTCACACGGCTCACCTGCAGCACTGTAGCCACATGTAGAGGCCGACGCAGAGTCAGCCCTGCTGTGTTATCTAGTTACTGTTGCAGCATGTGCGCTGTAATAGGACTAGATAGATAGAGTTGTATAAATAGACATACACGGCAACTCAGTAAAGAGAATTCAGATTTGCCATCTCCCAGACAGGGCTTCGGCCAATGCTGGTGTCTTTGTATTGTGTGTGTATGCTCTGTTTTCCTTTCTTCTTCTAGCTCTAACCATAGTGTGTGGGGACAGACAACGCTTGTTCATGGTCGGCACGGCTAGTGGGTGCTCGACAAGACTGGTGAGTGATTCACTCACCTAAGCCGGTGATCTTGTGGGCCAACACTCAAACAGGAGCGAGCTGTAACTCAGCACATGCTGTATATAAAAAGAAACTGCGAGTAATTTCGCCAAATCCCATATTTTTGCTACTGTAAAAGACACAGCGCACACGTGGGGAGGCACGTATGTCAGTGAGACATGGATGTCAAATCTAGGATTAAAAAAATTCAGTGATAAATATCTAATTATCCTTTTCTTACTGTCATCAGTGCCCCTGAAAGACACGGAGTTAACTAGCCTAAAAACTGTGATGCTTACTCCATGTTGCAACACTATATATGGGACCATAGTAAACTAACAAGTAAAACTAAGCTGCATCTCCCATATACTCTTCTGTTCCAGCGAAATTATGGTAGGAATCTATGGCATCATCGCAGCTCACTCACTGACAAGTAAATTATTATTAAGCTGCATCGCCCATGTATGTTATCAACATCCAATGACTGCAACTCCCTTCCACCCAAGAAACTAAAAATAGCAGCAAGAACCAGAGCACCAATGACACTTTGCCTCGCCACATTTCATATCTCTGAGAAAAGAAACCATGTTCTCTGCACTATACCTAAACTTCAGACCTTTGACACTGCAAAGGCAAAACGTGCATCAGAGAGTTAAAAGATCAGCTCAACATGGTTTGTATTGTATACCAAGATCAACAGGGAACACGACAAATGTTCAAACTAAACTGGTTCATGTAAAAATAAATAAATTCAGAACTCAGGCAAACACATCTTGTTCAGGGGAAATGTAGCGCGAGAATGCCAAAGTAAGGCTCAAGACAACAAGTACCTGCTAATTCTGTACAAACTAGAGATGAAGAGGTTGCTTTCGACTAGAACTGAACTTCACATGTTGCCTTATTGTGTCCTGTTTGTTTGCACCTGCTACAGAGTCGTATGAGAGTGCTTATCTTGTTGGGGTTAGACCGCTTCCTTCTCGGTTTATCTGATGAGCGCTGCTTGGGAGGCAGTGGGAGTAGATTTGCCCCAGCACTAAAATCAACACTATCCATGTCAGGTATTGGGAAGATTATTCCTGAGTATGTCAGATGGTAGCTTTCTATTCTAAAGAACTTTGGGCAGTAGTCATAGAAACTGCGACCAAGCCTGTTGAACACAGCAATGGCATGCATGCAGGGGAGGCCAGAGAGTTGCCAGTGCCGACACGTGCATTCCCAATTTCCAATATTAACTACAAAAATTGCATTGCCCCTCACTTCAAACACAGTCTCGGAGGAACACAGCACAGTCATTTTGCCAGCCTTCAGCATCTCATCCTGCACTTTGCATTCCATAGTAGGTGTTAAAGGCCCTTCCCACGCCTTGCAAGCTTCAAGCCTTGATTCTATTACTTCCTTAATCTTCATTCTCAGTGAGTCTACCATCAGCACTATGGAACTCTCCTTCTTGGTTGGTATCCAGTTATCGAAAGCATCAGAAATGTTCAAGGAGAAATGATCATACCGGCAGCCTCGGAAAATGGCATCTGACCAATGCTCTGGCTTGCTCGCAATGATCCAGTCAGCAGCTTCACTGGATATATTCCTTATGCTCTCGATGGATGCATTAAAATCCTCGATGTTGCACGCTTGGGCTGCACGAGTGAAATCCTCAACCATCCCCTCCCTTATTTGTTGTGACCATGGTCCCTTCCTCAGCTCTCCTTTAAATTCCTCAATGATATGGTGCAAACAGAAGGCATGTTCGCCATCCTCAAACACATGAGAAACAGCAGCATCCAGACCCATTTGTCCATTGGACAAGAATGTCATGCCATTGCAAGGGTAGTTGTGAGTTTGGAGAGCTATTTTCAGATGCATTAAGAACCAACCCCAGCTATCATAATTTTCATCTTCAACCACATTAAATGCCAACGGAAATACACCATCATCTGCATCAACGGCAGCAGCCACAAGCAACTTGTACTCATTCGTTGCTTTAAGTGGGACCTTGTCCAGAAATAAGAGGGGCCTGCACCCATTTACAAAGCCATGCAAACAAGCATGGAATGCAACCAAAAAGCGGCGGGATTTCATATCCACCTCCGGAGACAGCACACTTATACTTCCTGGGTTGGTCTCCTCAAGCCTCTGACAATACCAGGGTAACTGATCGCGAGTCTCCCTGATAGCATGATAAATCTCTTTCTCTGCTACTTCTTTGCCTCGCCAAACCTGTGAATATGTTAGTGTAACTCCGTATTCTTCAAATAATTCCTTTACAAGTTCCTTTGGCTTAAACTTTGGGTTATCATGCAGCTTCTCCTTAATGATAGTAGTCAACCACTGTCTTGTTGCTCGACGCTGACCTTCTCCACTTCCTCCACCACAAGTATGTTCATCTGTCATTCTCTTGATAACAAATTTCTTGTTACGAGATGATTCAGACGCATGCAACCGCCAGGTGCAGCCTCCTTCTGCAGCACATTTTACAGTGACACGAGTGATTTCATTTTTTATGAACCGGTACACAAATCCTTTCCCAATAGCATACTTGCACAACTGAGCACGGAAATCTTTCACATTATCAAATTCTTGACCAACTCCTTTGATAATGTCATCCCACAACACAATAGGATTGTTAGGTCCCTGAGGAGGTTCATGCATGATCTCAGAACCAACATATGGATTGAATGCATCATCAAACAGACTAACTGCTTCCCTGCAAAGAAAAATCATACAAAATTGACAAAAATCTGTAAAAAAAAGTAATCCTTTTTAGCAAACAATATGGAGAGAAAGATATGAATGTGTAATAAGTTACCTGGGGATATTATCAACAAGAGCAAGCTTTTGCTGATCGAGAATATCTGATGTGAAGGAAGCGCCTCCAGCTGTGGTGGTAAATCCGATGTCATTCCCAAATTCCAACTGAAAAACCCTAGTTTTGAGAAAGATGGAAACGGTAACTGGGAGTGGACAATGTAGTAAAAAACAGAACCATTGACTAACGAACAAAGTAAATAATAGGACTGCAATAGTGTAATAGGATATACTAACAGAACTGCAAAGTAGACATTCAAGATGAACTAGACCACATGTCCACTGGGAACTTTATTTGATTAAACTAAAGGTATGGACCGTAGTCCATAAAAGTGAAGCTATTCCTTGAAATGAAGAAACAACTTCAACAGGTGGCAGTAAGTAGAAAAATTTTATACAGCTAAAATTTAGGATCACAAAGCACATGCAACCAGTCGATGAAATCGTTCGCATTGGTATGGACTGGTTCGTGGTAAGGGTCAGATGACCAGAGTAAAGGCTAGATTGTTATCGTTAACATTGAACTTGATACCTCTCATCATGAGACTCTGCTAGCACTTATTTCTATGTAGAGAAGCTTTCTAACACGACGCACTAACAACCTAACAGAATGCATAGATATGTGCAGCTAACAGACAAATGTAGGAACTAGCATGCAGTTAATTCATAGCATCGACACATGCATTTTTCTCAGCATTTACATTGAAAGCAGTTTATTCTGCATAACATCTCAGAGCAAAGAAGGCATGCAAAGATTAAGCAATTGTGTGTAGGTTGATCCTGCACCTGTTTTCTTCATTTTCAGTAATAACTGAAATCGGTTGTCCCACATTATCTGTGATAGCTTGAACTGAATTGCCAGGAGCACTGGTAGCTGGTTTGCTGCTTCTGATTACCCTAGAAAGGGATAGCATTGATTGTGATGCTTAGAAGAGTATGGGGTTGTAGATAATGTTGATAAAAAAAAGCCGAGCGATACCACGTACTTGTTTTTAGAAGTGGGTCTTTTCCTTTTGTCGCCACTAGCAACAGAGCCAGATGTAGCTCCAGAATGTGTTACAATACTCCTGGTTATACAGCATGAGACAAAACAATCAATCACCTCATGATATGTTTGATGTTATGTGAATTATAAAAGGTTACACAAAAAAGGTAGAACAAGACATACCTGTTCTCTTGTCTGCTTATCAGAAAAACATCTACATGTGCAGCATTGGCAGTAAAATCAACCATCCTTTGCAAATCCCGGTCACATGATATGGTGATGAGTGTTTTCAGATTATTGGGAAGAAAGTACTTGAGTGACATGTCAGTGACATCAACATGGAACACCTTGCAAAGCTCATCCTTGAAGCCCTCCAGCATCGAATCACGAGTGACATCGACAGCATGAGCTTCTCCACCTCTGTATATCAGATTACCACTTGGGCCAGAAGTGAACTCTCCGCCGTACTGGCAAATGGCTACCACAATAGCCCCATTCGCCATGCTCCCTAAGTCACTGATTTAGTCAGTATAAAAGGCACGACAGTTTAGAAAAACAAAGGGAAATTCATCTCTATCCAGATTCTCTGATATGGCTTACACTGAACTGAATAATATACAGTCAGCAAGTAAAATCAGATGAGCAGCATATGAAAGGCAAGCATGTAGGTTGAACTGCATATGACATTTCAGACAAATCTAGCAGATGGGAAACTAACAGACAAAGCACTCACCAAAGAAAAAGATGGAACGAAATCTAAGACAGACCTGTATTATGTATTACAAAAAGGTCTACTGGTTGAGTCAGGTAACCAAAAAGTTTGGAACTTTCAAGCTGTTATTAAGTCATCGTCGTACTGAACTTTCAGAAGACACAGAATGTGAAATTGTGAATAGCTTCACAATGGACAACAAATTTGTCAATTTGAGCAATCAAACAGTATGATAATCTAAGATACGAATTAGAAGCCTGTGAAACTAACTTGATGGAGCCAATTCGCCTATGTGTCTGCGTGTCTGTGTGATAGTCAGGAGGAAAACATGGGGCGCAGTGCCATTCACTCCAAATCGCGGGTCCGCTATGACAACAGACAGCAAAAGCAAGGTCGGTCCTGAAAAAGAAAGGGGTCAAGTTGGGAAATTTTGTTCAAGAATCCCCTGCTATTTGCACAAATCACATTAGGAGTGAGTGCGAGACCAAGAAGAACAACCAACGCAAGGGGCAGGCACGGAAAAAGGGGGGAAACGTGGAATCTCCTAGGAGAGGCGCTGAATTCACTTAAACCCCCAAATTTTACGGAAAATAAACTGCGCCGTCGCGGTGTGAAACCGGCCAAGCTGAAGAACCACCGAAACGAACCATCGAACTGAGCGGGAGAGGAGAAGGACCTGCTGGGTTCGATTGAGAACGGAACCGAACCCTGACTTCGCGCACAGATTCAGGAAAGCACGCATCGAATCCAAGCAAGCAAGCAAGGGGTTTGGGAGACATACCAGCACAAGGAGGAGACACCAATCGCCGCCCCCACTGGACCGGACGGGGAGAGGAGGCGACCGCGGTCGGTGGCGGCGGCGGGCGGCGGCGCAGAGGGAGGAGTAAGAAGGGGACCGATTTGTTAGGGCTACGGGTGGGAGGGGTATTTTTGATATTTTTTCTGCATTATTAGGGAAAACTTGGCTGGTTGTTTTTACAAGTTTGCCATCACGTCGCCGTGACCCTGCGATGGCGTGTTTGGTTCCAACTCTATAGCGCACGTCACATCTGACGTTTGCATACTAATTAAGAGAAATTAATATGAGCTAATTATAAAACTAATAGCAAGATAGAGACTAATTTGCGAGATAAATCTATTAAGTCTAATTAATCTATCATTAGCGCATGTTTATTGTAGCACCACATTGTCAAATCATGGACTAATTAAGTTTAATAGATTCGTCTCGTAAATTAGTCTCTATCTATGTAATTAGTTTTATAATTAGTTCATATTTAGTTTTCTAATTAGCATCCGAACATCCGATGTGATAGGGACTAAAGCTTAGTGAGAAAAACCAAACACCCCCTAATTGTAAGCAACTCCTCAAGGCCTGATGTGATATATTGCACGAAATCCTTTTTTTCTATTTCCAACCCTCAACAAATCTTTTTAGGCTAAGGCACCAAATGCTATTATAATATTTATAGAAAAGAGAAGGGAAGGATGATGTTGGCACGTTTTTATTGCTTATTAGTCCAAAAAAGTATTGTTCCATGGGAGGACAATAAATGTGAGATGTCCAAAAATCGAATCTTCGAGAAAATCTCGATGATTTTTTTCATTTATTCCATGTTTTAGTCTTGGACTAAGGAGAAACGGGGTGGATCTGAACTATTAGGTTTCAATCATCAATTAGAAAAGTGAAGAAGTTGAAGGTCAAACATAAACATATATGTTTTCATATATTATATATTTTTGGACTGCGAACATGACATCGCTATAAAATTATACGAACATGACGTCATTATAGAAGTATATATGTCATATATAAAAGGTTTTTCATATTAGATTAAACCTGAAGCTAATAAATGGACTGGCTTCTTGGTTTTTAGACTGCAAACACGAGCCCTCTTCACCACACGCACACACATCTATGGAGTCAAATCACTATTAAAATCAAGAAAAAAATAAGGAAAAGAAAATGGGTTGAATAGGAAGAAAGGAGGAATTAACAAATCAAATCCGATGAATCAATTTTGACGGATACAACTCCCATGACCTGATCTTCTTCTCCAATGATCACCTTGCTTTCTCCAGAAGCAAATCCAACTCCAACAAGCTCTAGTTAGGGTTAGGTTTTATGATTAGAGATAGGGTGTTGAGTTCGGGAGGGGATTTGTGCCAGTGTTTTAGAGGGACCATAGAGCCTGCTGGACCAGCAATGGTGGTAGGGATTGGGTGGGATAGATAGCAACGGTGGTGCTGCCCGCCGTGATGATGGAGGTCAATTGAGAAGGTTGGTTGCGGGGCATCATGGATGCAATGTTGGCATTGGTTGTGTTCATGGTGATAGCGAATACAGCAGTAATAGCACCACCAAATCGAGAAGGGTGACGATGGAGCGAAGAGGAGGAAGGAGGTCCACGCCGGCATCGCTGCACCAGTAAGCAATGGTGAGAGGAGAGTCGGACACGAATTGAGAGCATTGATGCTAGAGAAAGGTGTGGCTGACAATAGGGTGGGAACAGGGCAGGATGGAGGTGGAGTTAACAGGCGAAGATGGAGCTAGCGTTGGGAAGGAGCAAAGGAGAAGGAAATAATGTTGGGTGGTTGTGGCATCCATGTTAGGGATTCTTGCGTCACCACTAAACAGAGAGTACTCTTGTCGGGGTTTTGAAGACCGACCAGTAAATTTATCGCCGCGTTGTTGTAGGAAGACGATGGTAGCACTCAAGACACAAGGAATTATACCGGTTCAGGACTGAGCCCTGCGTCCAGTGTGGGGGTGTTGCGAGTTCATGTTCCTCGGTTCAAGTGCTCGATGGGCTTACAACAGGGGTTCATAAGCGAAGGTATAGGGAATCGATCGGAAGTCCTCTGAGAAGAGGGCCTGGCTCCCCTTATATAGGTCTGGGGGCTAGGGTACAATAAAGAGAGATGTGTTCTCCTGACCCGACTAGTCGAGAGCCTGAGGGGAGGAGATAGTCAGCGTTGAATCTTGATCGGTCGTTCTCGTGTGTCTTGTCCCTGCTCCTATGGATGTGTCCGTGCAGGGTTGCTATGGTCTTGTTCCCCATGCCAAGGTATGGTGCGTCGTGGCAGCACTGTGGGAATGGTAGTTGTTCACCATCTATCATGTGCGTCGTGGGGGCGGCGTGGCCTCCATCCTAGCTTTCATCACCCTAGAAGGGTGCCATTGCATCCAATCGGGGAACAGTGCGGTCGTCCTTGGTTGACCGCCCTCCTCCCTTGTATTATCGACCTTGATCCCTTGGGTCGGGGTCATGGTCTGTGTCATTGTGGTATGAATTGGCTTCAGGGTCATGAGACCCATACCCATAGTGGGTGGAGCCGTACACCTATCTTGTCGGGCTGAGTCGGGATGGGGCAGTGCCATGCCCAACATCACTGCCCTATGGAGGAGTCTTGTCTACTTAGGGCTGCCCCAAGACACTGTGGTCCGAGGGGTGCCCGTCCTTCCCATCCTATCAAGGCATGTAGGGCGTGCCTGCCCTTGTCAAAGCTGGTGCACTTGATTGCCCTCAACCGCTCCTTGTCTTTTCCTCCTATGCGGTCAAGGCAGGGGGAGGTCAAGGTGGCCGTGAGCCATGTGGAGGAAGGGAGAGGAGGTCGAGGTGGGCTGCGTGTTGCGTGGCCCATTGTGAGGTTGGCCCAGGCGGGCCGTGGCCGGCCGGTTGGCCTAAGTTGCTCCTAATCCTTGTCCTGAGGCACCCCGGGGTATATGACCTCAACAACTCTCTCTGTACTAACCTCCTACATTAAATAAGTAGAAACACGGATGGACATAAATCAAATATGTCTACTTCCTTAACAAGCAAAAGATTTTAAAGATGGACGTCATTGTGATGGACTAGAGATGTAAGGTCGAGTGTTCCATGAGGGCAAGGAGTAACTATCTATTAGCAAGTGTTGATGCAATGTATAGCTTGAAGGGGTAATAGACACTACTAGAGAAATGGGTTTTGAAAAACACCACACTACAACTGGCAATAAATTGTAACACCCTCGGTGTTACACTATAAAACTCTTTGCTAAAACATGTCATGAGCATCATGGTTATGTGTCAATGTTTGTAATATAGTGTGTGAATCAATTTATGTAACTTAAAACGACCAACGGAAATGCTTAACGAAAGGTCGTTCGTGACGTATAAAATCATCAAGTACGGATGTTCGTGAATTTTTATTGAACGAAAACACTATAGAACATATATACGGAACTTTAGTAAAGTTGGAAGCATGAACGTTGTAGATGGTGATGAAATACCTATGGTCGAGAAATGAATTCACTAGCTAGCATACCGAATAGCTTCGAAATTGAAATTGACGCGAATCCGATCGAGACTTAGTCAAATTTCTTAAGTCAAAAAATGGTTTGACAAGGCTAAGTTTGGTAATTTTTGTATAGCAATTGGGTTAAGGAGTGATGGGGTATTAGAGCTTATTTTAGTAGCCTAACAGGCCCTCTTAAGTATAGCATAGGTGGTTTGGCAATTGAATCATTGAATTAGATTTTTAGGACGCTTTAAAAAGTGTGCATGGCACGTTCCCAGCCGGTTTCATCGCGTGGGCGCGGTCACCGTGCCTCGGGCACTTGGCGTCGCAACGTCGGCCGTTCGACGCACACGCGCACGTGTGCACACGTGCACACACACACGCCGCCGCGCTCGGTGGGACGCTGGGGGGCGTTTGGCCTGGCCGCTCTGCCCCGCCACGCCCTGCCATTGTCGTCGTGGGCCCGGTGCCCTAGCTGGTCCGCTGCTACTGATTGGCCGCTCTGCTTTGCCAT